CAGCTACCTGAAATAAGACCATGTAACCTGATTAAGCTTCTGAATTCATACTAGCACATGAACTTATTCATGTGGTTATGAACACCACCAACAAAAAACACTGGGATCAGCTTATCTTTAAAATGGTGTGATGAAATATATGTATACATATACACACACTAAATAAGCATATTATGTTAGTTGATGACTACTGACAATTGTGATTATTAACTACCATAAACGACAAAATGAATTTTACCAATGTTAAACTTCCTCCCAAAATGTTCACAATAAATCAATGTATGGAATTATAGCCTACTGTGTGTTATGTTTGATCTCTTTTTGCATGTCCACCTATATTAAAATAATAGTTATATGCTACAGTTAAGCAGTCAATTACTTATTATATGGTAAAATTGCATACAACCTTTATAAGCATCAACCCAGGAACATTTAAAAAGCTTTCACCTTCAATCCATTAGACATTACACTACGCTCCTATTTTTAAATAGTGGTTCAATAAACAGTTTATGTGCCTATGTCTACATCAATGTTAGGAACTATCAGATTGTAGAATACAAGCATAGCTCAAAACAGGCAGTGCACATTGTATACAATTTAATATTTCCAGCAACGTTAATGTATACTCCACGTACTGTATTATTTAGATTTCATTGGAATAAGCATTCATTTATGCAAAGAAGAAAAGTTGAATTTGCTGTACCATATCTCTCATGAACAGATGCGTCTATATTAATACACATCATTGATTTAATTTTTAGTTTTCTTGGTTTCCCCCTCACCTACCTAGAAGTGATTTCTCTGGTGATAACTAACACATCATGCTAATGAGAGAATCTAATGTACAATAGAGAAATGTCACTACTAATAATATTTGCATGAAGTTAAATAAAGCAACTGTAAGAGAATGTCAGACAGTTGTTCTTTAATAAGATACAGTTACACAATGAAATTATGTTGTTAATTTTGTTACATCATTGAGTGAATCCTAAATTACTATATAATGATGCACAGATCCATTTATAATTCTGATATACTGCTTTTTCACTCTCACATTGAAAAAAAAAATGCTTCTGGAAAGGCTATTACCTTTTTATCTGAAATGGATTAAACATACTTCTTTCTTAACAAAAATGTACATGGCTCTGGCATTTTGTGTCACTGTAGGTTACAGCCATTTGTCCTATGGTCACATTTCTGAAATGACTTAAAAAGTATTTTAGAACATTACAGCCCTTAAGGTAAGTGGAAGAAGAAAAAGGACATTTCTTGTTCTGACAAACACACAAAACATTTATGAAAGCAGAAAATCATAAAAGCCTGCTTTTTTAAATCAATCAAGTCCAGGCCTTCTTTTCTGCTGTTAACAACTGCTTGCCAAAACTAGTATGGGCAGTGGGTGCCCTGGACTTTACCAGACAAGCACGGAAGAGAAGCCAAGGGTTTCTGCACATTCTCGACCTGTCACTGATCAAAGTGACCCAAAGAAGCACTCCTTTTTAAAAGTTAAGATTTATGCCCTTTGAGGTTATCAGACATTCTTCTGTATACAGAATGTGATGACCCCTTCCAAGCAAACTACACACTTTTATATTGAAAAAAGATGCATAGGCAAAACAACGCAGTCAAGTGGCCATGTCATAAACTTCTGACAGGTAATTTAGGAGACTATTCCTCTTCTCCTATCACTCCAGCAAAATCTAAATTTGCTCTGGAATGTGGAGATGCCATTTTCTTGCACTCCCATTCTCTTAAGAAAAGCATCCAAAAATAAATGCTATCATACTTGCAATTAATATCCCAGACCTTTACACTAAATCCTAAATTTTCTAAGACACACACACTTCCTCATCACAATGAAGTAGGTTTCTTTTATTCTGAAAAAGGTTATTCATTCATTATAGTATGCAAATAGCTGTGAGTTGAGAGGTAAGAGGAGGGGAGTGATCGCATGGTTTTGTTTTGTTCTAAATCATTCTTCTTGCTATGCTCCAATCTTTGTACTAAAAACCTGCCTGAGATTAAATTACAGCTCCAAGGAAAATTGATGGGGCTTGGGGTTTGTTTGCTTCTAAAAAAACATGTAGAAGGCCAGCATTATACTTAGAACTTTAAAAAAGAAATGTCTCTAGCATTGCTATGTATAGCTGGAAAAGTTTCATTAAACAGTTCTTTCAAACTGTGCAAAACTTTGCTTGCAAGTTACGTACATTTAATAACATCATGTTATTTGTAATCATGAAAACGATTTTTCTTAAAACATAGAAAATTTTGAAAAATACTTACATTTCCAGAAGATGAATAGAAAATAATTAACTGGCAAATAGATGAAAATAGGTAATAGAAATCAATACTCAAAATTTTTGTGAGTTAGAAAGAAACATTGGCACTTAGACACAAATTTGCAGCTGCACTTGCACATAGTCTGTGCTTGTTGCCTGCGTGAGCTAGTAGGTTATAACAGCCTTAACAAATCAGAAATATAAGACAAAATATTATC